CGTTTGATAGTATAAATTGGGGTTGAGCACATTCACACCCTATGAACTGGCAAATCTATTCTTAGTTAATGAGACATGTGGTTGAGAATGTTTACAGCTGTAGTCTTTGCAATAGCCCCAAAGAAAACAACCTGAGCTTCTCATCAATAATAGAATGGAACTTGCAGTCCTTTTATACAATGGACTACTATAAGGCAATAACAATAAGAGATCACAGCTATGAGCACAGAATGGATGAATCTCATAAGTATAATGTTGAAACAAATAAAGTAAGTTTACTTTTATAGAAAAATTTAAAATAGGCAAATTAACCTATGATCATAGAAGTCAGGAGAGTTGTTACCTTTGAGGAGAAGAGAGAGCTAGTTATTTGGAGTGGGCATGCGTGGGTCTGGTGATGTTCTGTTTCTTGACTGGGATGATGGTTCCTGGGTATGTTTGCTTCCCAGCAATTGAGTGAGATGTGCATTTATGATTTGTGCACACCTCTGTAGATATTTTATGCTTGATTAATAAAAGATAAGAGAACAAGTATCAGCACTTGGCACTGATGGGTATGTTTGAACTATTGCTAAGCTCTCTCTGCTGATGTGATTTTTGCACCTCCTCTCTGTAGAGACACATGTTCCCAGTCAATAATATAACTGCATGCTTTTTATGTTTGCTTTTCATTTTCTAAGCAATCTGTAAGCAATTTAATTTCTAATTTTTGGTGTAGGAATTGATAAGGAAGATTTATTTATTGCATTTTTATTATAAAATGTGATATATATATATATATATATTTCCAGGTAATACGAGATGTTTTGAAGGCTGTGAAACGATGGCAGATGCTTAATGTATTCTTTCTCAGAAGAATGAGGAGTGAGGACATTTGTTCGATATGGCAGACACTGAGGTTGACACACGGCAGCCTGTCTTGTCATTGACCTGCTCTTAACCCCGAATCGTTTTCTATCACATTTAGATGAAAACCCAAAGCTTCTTTCACACCTACACGAGGTCATAAATCTTTGTTCCTCCTGTTATCCACATGTTTCCCCTTTGAGCATTGTTCCCCTCCGTCTGGAATGCTTTTCCACCAGATATTCATGTAGCTGGCTCCTTAATTTGTTGAATGAATGAATTGATTCATGTGGGACGCTATGTACATTTCAAGGAAAAAAAAATACCCCATAAATATTCACAGTATTCAAAATTTCAAAGTATACACAGTCGTGCACCCCTCCTCGGTCTTCTAAGAAGAAATATCTGTAGCTCAAGGCTCAGACTCTTCACGTCTTTTTTGTGTGATATTTTCATTACATGGGTTTTACATGTTTGCAGTAGAAAACAGAAAAAAGTATTAACAGAAAAATGCAGTTTCTGCCTCATGGGACACAATTAGGAGAAGATGAAACACTCTCCTTGGGTCTTCTCATGCTCTGACCAGGACTGTGACACACAGGTTGTATCTCAGCCTTAATAGCACCTGGTTCCTGTGAGGCCCAGGAGGAGACACGAGGGTGGGGGAAAGATCGAGATCTACATGTAAGAACTGGGACACTGAGTAACAGTTGTATCTAACCCTGTAACTGCCAACTGTATGCTACCCGAGGTTTAAGCTTCCTGTATATGTTAACACATTTCCTTGCTACAACAATTTAAGAGGGCCCAGATGAGAAAAGTGTGTCAAGGACAGCTTCAGATCACACAGCTGGCCCCAGAGTTCACACACAGTTCACAGAGTTATGAACTCTCCGAAGGAACCCATCCCAGGACTCAAGCTTGAAGGTGGAGTTGGGGAAGCCCAAATGAGTAGAATTGAAGTTAGGGGCCAAGGACTAGGAAAGGTCCAGAATGGAGCAGCAGTGCCCCCTGCAGTTAGGTTGATTTCTATTCCAATCAGCATACACAGTGTTTTCTGGAGACCCACTCAAGTGTATGTAGGCTTAGAATCCATCTTACTTTGGACACCAGTCCCTCTACCCATAAGCCCGAGCCAGGCTAGTTCTAATCCTAGTCCTCCCAAGTTTATGGAACCCAGAACACCTGTGCTGAGCATGTGCTATCACAGTCAGAGCCCAGTGACACTTAGGTGAATGTCCCTCAGAATTTAAATAGGAAATTCTTGAAAATCAGAGCCTTTAGAGTTAAAGGGGCAAACACTGTAATGATGGCATTTTGGATAGAAGGGTGGGCAACATGGGAGATGTTTAGGAACACAGGAAAGCCTACACAGCCCCTTAGAGTCTTACTTTGTGGGACAACAGCTGGTATTTACTGTAAAGGTCTGCCTGGCACCGAGGATTTGCTTCCCTTGGTGATTCCAGCAGGAGCAGGCAGCATCATAATCACCTACAGAGAAGCAGCCATCGTGTCCCATCCTCCCTTTTCCTCTCTGTGTCCTCCCTCTCTTGTTTCCCTGCCCTCCCTCCTCTGTTCCTTCCCCTTCCTAAACATTTGTGGCACATCTCTAGGCTTCTATTTTTCACCAGGGACTCCTGAGGTGGGGAAGTACAATGGTAAGTAACCTGTCCCACCCGGCCATTGCTGTGCCCTGAGCAGGGATGACAGATGGGAAATAGAGGGACAGACAATCATCTGTGTTTTAGCTGGATCTGCCCAGCTAACTCAAAATAGAAAAGCAAAGACTCCTGCGTAAAGAACTGTGTTTGATTTGAAAAAAAAAATGCATTCATTGGAGTGTGAAATTGTGTTTCCTTGAATGTGTTGTATGAACACTCATTGTATTATTGTAAAAACAATTTTATCATTAACTTATCAAGAAGGGACAGGGCATTTTACTCTTATTGTCTCCAATAAGGTTCTTGTTTCCAGGGTTTAGGGATCCTTTGTCTTAGGGGAGAGAATTAAGTGACAGTTTTTTGTTTTCATTTTTTTCCAAAAGACTAGCCCCATGTCTCTCAAATCTGATCTGCAGATGGATTTTGTCTGGTCCACGCTGTTTTATTTTTTACTTTTAGCATTTTACTTAATTATTTATTTATTATTAAGTTATTTTTAATTGCAGTTGAGAAATATTATGTTGGTTTCAAGTGTATAACATAGCGATTAGACATTTATATACTTGATGATGAAGTGGTCACCCCAATAAGTCTAGAAACCCTCTGGCACCATACACAGTTATTACAATATTATTGACTATATTCCCTATGCTGTACTTTATATTCCACGACTGTTTTTATAAATGGCAACTTGTATTGCACTTCTCAATCTCGTCCACCTTTTTCACCCATAACACTGTTTTAAATGGAATCCATGGGCAAGATTAAAACCTTGGGATTTTATCATGAAAATCTAGGTTTCAGGTTTCTCTGGAAAAAGTCTGGCAACAAGGGGCTGGCATTTCCAAGGGAAACAATTGACCAAGGCTGAATTGAGACCTCATATTGCTTATGTGTCTCCAACCCATATGTCCTCATGCTCCTGACGCTGATCTCCAAGGGCCAGCTGCTGGTTGTCACCTTTTTCCCCGGTTTGTTTAGAATACTCACATTACATGCGCCTCTTGTTCAAAAGGAGGGTTCTGGCTGGAAAGAAAACTTGGTTTGCTAAGGATCAGGAAGATAGGAGTTGGTGGGGCTTTGTGAATGGGAGACCCTTGCACTGATTAGGAGAAGTTAGGTCTTCCAATAGCACATCATGGCCACGTGGAGTCCTGGCCGGGTTGGGCTGCCCAGGATAGTGGAGCTGCCTCTTCAGAATGGAGCAGGTGGGCTTGCAGGGCTGCACTGCAGAGCAGAGACTCTGCCTCTGTTTTTCTCTGCTGCTAAACCCTGTTATTTTGGGAAAGACCACAAAGGAGAGGATGGGTAGGGCCCTGGATAAAAGACTTAGAGGTTAGTTTAGCTGTAGGTATTTTCCATTAGAACGGGGGGAAATGTTATATATTTTTTTGTGCCTGAATGTTGTTCTCTGTGGTTTAATTCATATGAAAAACTCATAAGCTCTTTGTATGATGACAATCTGCCTTAGAAAACATCCATAATACCTTTCCCAGGGACCCTTCACTAAATATCTTCATTCATTACTTTATTCATTCAGCAGATATTGGAGCACCCACTGTGGTTGTGGTGGAGGGGTAAATAATAGTAAACGATATAGGGTTTGTAATTTTTCCAATTTTGGTAGTGATGTGGATGAGCAACAGGAAATTAGAGCGAGAAAGACATTGCTTGGGAGCAAGGAGTTTGGGCTGTTAATTCTCTTTCTATCCTTCAACTCCTGAGAAAGCCTGCACCAACTACTAAACCTTTCTGGTCTCCACTGTCATTCAAAAGGGGCTAAATTATCCTTAATTTTTTTTTTATTAACTTCTAAAATACTTAGCTGAAGAAGAGAGACATACACATCTGGATGTTAATGCAGATTTTCTTATATATGAGGGCTTAGCTAGTTTCTTTTTTTTTAGGCTTTGGTTTTCTTCACGCATCCGGTTACTAGAAATGAGTGGAAATACATTTTATTTTGCTCTCATGTGTTTACTCCTCTAAGATCGCATACCTAAGAAATTAAATGAAGACTGTTTTGCAGTCCCCCCTGTAGAAAGAGAAGGAGGCCAGTGATGACCGTCGAAAGCAGATGGTTTCACTGCCTCCGTGTTTAAGATTTGCTGTTGGAACCCAAAGATGAATGAAGACCTTGGAGAAGAAGAGACTTGCAAGCATGTTATGCATTCAGGGTAACGGGTTTATTATATCCACAAACAAGTAAGCATTTATTGGTGCTTTGTCAAAAATAACGGACAAGGTGACAAAAGACTCTCTTAGCACGAAAACAAGACAGCTGCAACAGATCAGTACTGAGCTTACAGACTCTCAAACGATCACAGCACCTGAAAAGAGAGCTTTCAGGTCGTGCAGTTATTCAGACAACCGAGTCAGCCATACTACACAGGCAACACATGGCAACAGAACACGATTAGCAAGGCAGTGTCACTGGGGGATAGAGGAAGGCTTGCTTGCTTGGGGCCTGGGGTCGCTGATGGGAAAGGGTAATTAAAACCTCATAAACCCTCCATATCGTTTCTCCATGTCAGGTGCTTCTTTGGAGTAATTCTCCCCTTCTTCGTTGGGGGGCAGAGAGTCGGCGAAGCGCTTCAGGAAGCCCCCGTACCTCTTCTGGTAGTCCATCCACCACTCGGGGCGGCCCACTCTTCTCATGAAGCCCCCGTATCGCTTCTGCAGCTCCTTGGCTTCCTCTTCCAGCTGGGGGCTTCTCTTCAAGCCTCTCATGAAGCCCCCGTACCTCTTGCTCACTTCTTCATCACCGGCCTCTTGGTGGGGGCTGCTCTCGCGGTGGTCCCCGGTGCCCAGCAGCTCCTTCAGGGGGTCCAAGGCATTGCCCAGAGCCTCATCCTCGCCTGCATCCTTCTTCATGAAGCCTCCGTATCTCTTGGCCGGGGTCTCACCTCCGTCGGCCTCCTCTTCTGGCTCCGGAGGAGAAAGCTCGTCGGCTTTCTTCATGAAGCCCCCATACCTTTTCATGAAGCCCCCGTACTTCTTGGCCAGCAAGTGGCTCTCGGCGGGCCGGCTGCTCTCTCTGAGGGCGCTGGTGCCCTCTGGAGGGAGCTCCAGCGTGGACAGCTGCAGCAGCTCCTTGCAGGCGTCCCAGGTGTTGAGGGAGGGCAGCTTCCCCTCACATTCCAGGGTGCAAGCCTGGGGAGAAGAACTCCATTTGAGAACAGAAAGAGGCTTTTCTGGTTTTCTGAGGCACACAGGTTTGCGTGGGCCACAATATGTTTACTTCGAGATGAGCACTCTTATGACACTCTCCATTTTCTAATTAAAACTTTATCATACCCAACAGGTAAATCAAAGGGAAATGGATTTAGAAAAGTTGTGGAGAATGAATTGAAACACATGAGAAATTTTCTTTGAATTTTAACAATACTGCAAAGGGTTTGTTCCCCCCCCCCGCCCCCACCTAATTTTAACCTAGATTGATTGCCTGCACAATTTAATTTCATGGGATAACATTTCACTAATGATTTTATTTCGTTTGAGCTTTTCCTAATCAAAAAGGAGAAATTTCTGTTTATCTAATTAGGGACATTATTAGAAAATTCCTTCTATCTTCTTGTCTTACATAAAATCAATACCAATGACATGAGGTTTGTTTTTTCTTTTGTTAATAGTTTACCTGCAGTGGTATCCAATATTCCTGCAAACATTTTCAGTCTTAGAAAAATAACCAATTTCAAAATAGGTTTGGAAAAAAGACTTTCTAAAAATTCAATTTAAATCCTATGAATTATTTGGATTATGACATACTGATTTGTCTTTCTTCCCCCTGAATTAATTAGAACTGAGTTAATCATCTTGAACTAAATATTTGTAGTTATGAGATTCCAAATGAAATTATGCACATGCTAATATTTATTCATATTACTTTTCTTAACATTTAGTTGCTAATGTATAGAAAAAGGTGTATTAGTGCCACAAAATTCTTTAGGATACATATTTAATCAACTTTTAATGACTATTTTATGTCTAATAAAATTTTTTAAAAATATAAAAAAACCTAAAGATGATCTGATTAAACTGATCCTGTTTATTTTTATATCTGATTAAGAAATCAAAATCTTATTAAGATGTTCAGATGTCAATATTTTCATTCTAAAAGATAATTTAAATGATTTCTTTACCAAAAATTAATTTTTCATTCTAAAAGATAATTTAAATGATTTCTTTACCAAAAATTATTTTATCCACTATTACCAAAATTCTTTTTAATGTGAGGATTTCTTAAAAAAATAATGATAATCAGAATAGCAGATTCATATTTTAAAAAGTAATGTAAATTTATTTGCTCCTATATATGTCTATGCAATTTTTATTATTTTATCACACTCTGTGTTCTATGGTCAAGGTCATATTAGATCATAAATTCAATTTGGACATCAATCATAACATACCTATGAATTTTTGCATTTGCCACAGAACCAAGCACGAGTGTCTTTCACGTGGTAGAAGGGCAATAAGTGTCTGTTATATTGATTTTACTACATGGTGTTGGTTAGGAAATCTCATTTCTCATCTGTGTTTTTGCATCCAAGGTAAAACTCCCTTACCACTGTAATTCTAACAACATAGTCATTGACAAAGCCTTTCATCAGAGATAAAATAACAACCCAAAATGTAAGCTCCCATACAAATCAGTTAAACCAAAAAACAATTAGAAGAAAAAAAGGTGGGTGAAATTGTTTTTACTCCTATTTAAGAGGCAATAATTTTCATTGTGGTTTAAGTTTAATGCCTCACAATGTATCTTCTCTTTACGGCCATGTTAGCACATGCACATATCAAAGGAAGCGAAACAAACCTTTAACCTGAACTAGAAGCCTTGTATTTTGTGGAATATTTCCCTGAGATTTTTGTCCCTATTGTATGCACCTACATAGCAAAATGTCTTCGAGGCTCCAGGGAGGAGCTTGACTCCTCAGATGAATACATGATTCTCTACTGAGCTGTTAAAATCATCACAGAATTTCAACAAATTGAGGAGTGCAAATGGATCTTGAGGGAGGTGGTTAAAAATGAAGCTGCCTGGGTCCCAAATCTGGAGATTTGGATGCATAGAGCATCGTGGTGATTCAAGAGCACCTGGACTCTGATTAGAATAAGAGCTCATTTGTCCTCAGCTTCTCCCCCCTCCCCCCCAGGCCCAAGGCCCAGTGGAAGTCCTTATCTTTTCCTTGTTGCCATCTCTCTGGACACTGGACACCCCACCTGTGCCTTTTTCATAGGCACATCAAACTGTTGTCTTAGTATGTTTTACAAAAGCACATTCAAGACATGACAGGAGTTGAATTCCACCATCACTTGCACGTGAGACTGTTACCAATTTCTTTCTCTTCTACGCTCTCCCCTCCCTTCCCCTGAGCTTTTGGAGTGTGAAGGGCTTGAGGGACCCCAAGTGGGTTAAGTGGGCTAGAGAAATGAAATTATGTAAAAAGGCGACAAAAACGCCACTAATAAAAAAAATGACATTACCTGCAGGCAGGATGAGAGGATGGTGGTGTGTGGAAGGGTCCCTTAGTGGGATGGTAGGAGTTGGGGTGACTGAGTATCTTCCTGGGGACAGGTGAGGTGACAACGCAGTGCTCTCCAAGGTGCTGAAGAGAGCACATCGGGGCTCCCATATGCCCCAGGTTACCGGTCCCTAGGATAGTCGTGGGTCCCCAAAGCTGAGAGGTAGAGCAGGACCTGGGTCTGCGTTCAGGGGAACAGTCGGGACACCGAAGTCACCAGAGACCGTGATCAATTGCCATCAGAGGACGCACCGTGCGCGGTGGCCGCTACGGGCTCACCCACCGCTAACTCTCACTCACCAGCGGGTCGATGTCGGCGGGGCGCGCCAGGAGGTAGCTGCACGTGGCGCAGTCCTGGCTGCATTCCGCCCGCACGGTGGCCAGGAGCCCGGCGCTGAGCGCCAGCAGCCAGGTGCAAAGTGTCAGGAACCGCGCCATGGGCTGCTGGGAGAGAGAGAGGGACTCGAACTCCGAGTCTGCCCGAAAGCAAGCAGTTCCCTGGGAGAGACCCTCGCCGAGACAGTCCCAGCCGCGAGTGTGCGGGACTAGGGAGTTTGGAGAGGCCCCGGGACATCTCAGATGACCTCCCGGTGCCCAGGTTGTCACGGTCTCCCCGAGCCCGCCCGGGGCTGCGCTGAGCCCTTGGCTCTCTCTCTGGGCGCATGCAACTCCGGACAAAATCCAGCAGGGAAGAGCCAAGACCAAGTGCTTGAAAGCGGGAGCCCGGGGAGGCATGACATTGACCCGGGGGGTCACACACCGGAAGACAGTTGGGAACCCCATGCAAAGAGACCGGCGGAATACAACCCAGCGGGCAGGCGGCGGCCCCAGGGGCGCGCGGCCAAGGAGCGCTCGGGGCCAAGTGCACTCACGTGGATGCTGTTCAGATGGCGCAGCCGGGTCGGTGGGAGAAGCGGCGTCCCAGCCAGGACACTGGAAGGGAGAGGAAAAGGCAGGTGTCAGGGTCAGGGGGCGTGGGGGCTGGGGGAGAAGCGGCCGGGGGCGAGGGGAAGGCTCGGGTCTCACCGTCGCGGTGGTGGTCGGGGTCGCCTCGGGGCCGCGGGCTGGACTGCAGGTCTCGGAGCACCGGCCTCGCCTCCCCTCGCTGTGCCCGGGCTGGCGGCGGCCGCTGCCACTTTATAATTCGCCCCCAACCGAGGGGGGTGAGCGCGCCCCAATCGCCGGCGGGCTGCCGCTGACGCAGGCCCTGCGCCGCCCCCGCCGCCGCCCCCGGCGCGGGAGGGGGCCATCCGGGGGTAGGGGGAGGGAGGGGTCCCCCGAGGGGAGGGGACGGTGCGGGAGGGCTCCTGCTGCTCCCCGCACAGCCCGGTGACAAACTAAGGTAGTCATTAGGAAATTTGGGAAGACAGTTGGGATGAGACAAAGTCTCCCTTCGCAAGGACGGGCACTGGGATTGCACTCCCCGGGGTGCGGGCTCCAGAGGGAGCACTGAGGTGGGGCGTTAGGAATGGCAGAGGGACCGAGTTTGATGTCTAGACTTGTACTGGAGACCCTCGGAGCTCATAGTGAACATGTTCCCCTTCTTTGCCTCCTCCTGGGGCGCCCTCGCAGGCAGCCGTGGTGGGCACTAAGCACAGCTTTATCCACCTGTCTGTCCCTTTATCCACCTGTCTGTCCCCGCATGAGGCTCCGAGTTCCATGTTGTAACACGTCCAACAGCGTCAGGCGCACATAGTAGGTGCGCAGTGAATGGCTAAAGGAAGGGATGACGGGAACATTTCTGGGAATCTTAACATCTCGGGACTGAGCTTTCCCCCTTTCGCTTTAGTGAGACCGCCTGCCAAGCGTGGACGCACGAAAGCCTAACCTTCTGGAACGGAGACTTCAGGGAACTGGGCGGGGCGGGGGGTATGGGGAAGAGACGCATTTACTCAGCTTCCCAGACAGTCTTCCAAGTTGGGGACTGCTCACTGCCTCAAGTGCGGGGCTCGAGGTGTCCCTATGAGAGTTTGAGGAGTAAGAGGGGGTGCCGGGGCGGGAGTGATACCCTCCCGCCAGGACTGGCGTGTTCAGGGAGGGATGAGGGACTCGGTACCCAGGGCACCCAGGGCCTGGGGCACGCTCACATCCTCTCGGCCTGGAGGGGCCCGGAGCCAGCGGTGGAGGCGGGGTTGTCCCCTGAGACCCGCTCCACACTTCCTAGCTCGAGGGAATATTGCCAAGAGGCAAGCTATGTCTCTGGTCAGATCTCAGTTTTCCCATTTGGAAATAAGAACAGAGGTAATGTGCCCCCCGAGATACGTCAATGAAATAATGGATGAACACTTTGAGCTTTGTGCCTGGCACATAGCAAGCCCTAAAAATGTGTTACCAATAATCTGTCATCCATCTACTTTCCGGTTTGTCTATCATTTATCCATCATCCATCTGTTTATCCATCCATCCATCCATCCTTGAATCTATCTATCCCTCCTGGCCCTGGAGAGAAACCACAGACAGTACCAGAGCCCAGACATAGAGAACGGGTCTCAGGCTTTTCCCAGCCAGAAGCGCCCTCTGCGAAGAACTGATCAGGACTTCAATCTTCCCAGGAGCCCGCTCCGGTCGCCCTGCATTTCTCCTTTCGGTCGCTAGAGGGCAGCGCTCTTCTGCGGAGGTTCGGGTGCGCCTGGGAAAGCGGGGGTGGGGAATGGGGGTGGGGGGTGGGGGTCTTCAGCATGCGGGCTCCGGACAGGAACCCCGGGTGGCCACGGAGCCCCAAAGGTGCACTGCCTGCCTTCCTTCCGACGGAAAGCGGAGCGCTGAGGTGCGGCGGCAGAACGCCCTGCAGAGCCTAAGACATTTTGCCAGGAAAACATAGTTTCCCCTTGGACATTTTTAAGCTCTTCACATCGGGGGCTGCTGGTGTCCTCTTCAGCTATCTCCCCGTCCCCAAAGGAAAGGAGAGCTGCATCTATAACACCCCCCCCCCCTTCTCCTTCCCCTTTTGCAAAGGCAGCCAACTGCACTGCAGTACTCAGTAGTAAAACGGTGCACGAAAAAATTCTGCCGAACGTGAAAGAAAGCTCTCTCTGAGCACTGGCATACCTGGGATTACCTAAGAACTTGAAACACATAATCAATAATCAGGGCAAGAGGCTGAGACGTGTGTGTGTGTGTGTGTGTGTGTGTGTGTGTGTGTGTGTGTGTGTGTGTTTGTATGTGTGTGTGTGTGTGTGTGAGAGAGAGAGAGAGAGAGAGAGAGAGAGAGAGAGAGAGAGAGAGAGAAAGAGAGAGAACTGCTTCCTTAGGGTACACAGTAATGCTGGACACAAAAGGCTCCCTACAACCTTGGAAAAGTAGAAGCTTAAACGCTGAAAGGGGACCGGGGATAATTTATTTCCACCCTCATCCTGTATGTGGTGAAAACCGAAGCTCAGACGGTCCAAGAGACATCCAAGTGACCGGCCCAGACAGTGGCAGAACCGGGCCCCCCCCCCCCCCCCCCCGCACCTCCTCTCTGGCACCCACCCCAGGCCTGGTTTATTTCTGTTGGAACAATTAAATTAATGGTTGCTCTGAATTCGTTTCTATTGGCGAATCTGCATCTGTCTCGGGCTTTTAAATGTCAGGGGAGAGAAAGGGAGGGATGTCTCCTAAGAGTAGTGCCCCAGCGCCCGCTCAGCTCATTGGGACTCAGTGGGTGCTGACCAGATGTGTGCTGGCTGACTGGCCGCAGGGACGGTGGTGACTGGCTGGAGGAACGGTGGTGGGCGGTTGAGCTTGTTGGCATCGCCTAATCAGTGACGGATGCCTTCCCATCACCTGCCTCAGTCTGTCTTAGGGGCGAAAGGGCATACATTTTTTTGTTCATTTCTTTATATTTGAATGGTGGCTGTGGGTTGCAAGGAATTTACCTTTTTTCGATCCTTTAAATATGTATTGAGAACAAATGGATTTTGCAATTACCTCCTGGGAAAAAGCTGACTTAGAAACAAGACTGAGAGAGAAGGGGGGTGGGGCGGAGAGAAAGAAAGGGGACCTTCTCTTAAAGGATTTAATCCAGAGAATTCTGAGTCCCAGGTCAGAATCAAGACCTTGCCTTCTTCTGATCCTTGGCGCCTAAACATTCCAGACGACAGGGATGTATTCCAGAGTCCAAGAAACGTGGCTTTTAATGTCCCAGTGATAAGTGCTGTTTCATTCGGTTCGTAGGTATTCTGTGAGAGCGGGAGGAGGCATTGGAAAAGTCCTTCAGTGTTGTCTTTCTTCATCCCCGGCTGGGAGATGCCTGAATTGAATAAATGCCTTTCAGGGTTCCATTCCTCTCCTCCCTGCTTCCTGCCACCCAAACACACCTGATTTCCCTCTGCCGCTCTCTCCCTCACACAGCAGCAGTGAGAGCACAGCACTTCTGCAGTCTGGGGCTTGTGTAATATTTCAGCATAAAAGCACCATGTTCTAAAATTTCCAATGTCTGGAGTCAGGCCAGAGGCAGGGCAAACGTGCCTGTTTTCAGTTACAATCTAAAGTGCGCGCATTGCCAGATACGATTCTGTGAGCTGGGGATGTTACCGTGAAATATCACTTGATTCTTCTTTGAACTGGCCGAGAGCCCCCCTAGCAGAGACTGGAAGTTGGTTGGAAGGAGAGGTTTTTATGGTGTGATAAATCCTCATTTTAAGCAAAGTTAGTGCTAGTACATTTTTACTCTCAAAATCCAGGCCACAAAATAAACCCTTTGAAAGAAAAAGTAACCGGGTACAAAGTTTTCTAAATGTGAATTTGAATAATAAAATGTATTAATGGAGAGAGAGAGAGAGGAGAGAGAGAGAGAGAGAGAGAGAGAGAGAGAGAGAGAGAGAGAGAGAGAGAGAGAGAACAGGAGAAAAAAGCAGGGAAGGGAAACTAAACTGTATATCAAACATATTGTTTATATACTATAAACTTAGAACTAAAATAGGGTTCCTCAATGTGGCCTCCCGCTCTCAGGAGACAATAAATTTTAGTACTAAGCATAAATAATTAGACCACAAATAAAGAAAGTTATAACATGACTCATTAGATTAAAAGAGGATAGAACTGAGGATCCAACCAATAAATAGATTATTCAGCAGCTTCACTTTTAAAAATGACTTTTGTAATTTCCTTGAAATAATTTGAAGCCATAACAGAGAACCAGACATGTTAAAAAATTGTATTGTCCTGGCCCATGGGGTTCAGTCGGTTGGAGCATCATCCCAGATACCAAAGGGTCTCAGGTTCTATTCCAGGTTAGGGTGTCTACCCCGGTTGTGGATTTGATACCTGGTGGGGGTGTGTATGGGATGCAACCTTTTGATGTTACTCTTTCCCTCTTCCTTCCTCTCTCTAGGATCAATGAAAAACATATTCTTGGGCAAGAATAAAAGAAAAAATTTCCTAAGGCCTGACCAGGTGGTTCAGTTGGTTGGAGCATTTTCCCTGTAAGCAACAGTTGTGGTTTTGATCCCCAGTCA